TTTTTTCCATTTGTTTACATCCATTTCGATAGAAAATGTGCTGTTCTGTCGTGCTCTTGAATAAGATCCTTTAAACTTGCGTAATTCAATGTATTCTTCAAGGAGTTTTATTAAGCACTTATGAAATAGATTTATTGCCATCAAGCATGGGAAAATTCATTGACTCGCGCGAGAACCACAGAATCAAAATAGCTATCATCACCTACAAACAGATTGCCGAACGAGTGTAAATTATTTCATCCAAGTGACTCTGCAGGTCGACTCAGAACTGACAGCAATAGAAGGAAAGTAGAATAAACTGAAAGGCAGCCGAATAATTTTCTCTACTGAGGGAGAACCAGATTGAATGCGTAAAATCCGAATGCTAACGATTTAAATAGCCGAGTCAGATAGTTTTTGGCTCACTGATTTAAATCATTTGAATTAGCCACAGCAGTTTTACGGTATTTGCTTGACGCTTATATTTATCTGTTACAGTATAACCTTTTTCTCCGTATTAATAGCAATTTAAATGTGTCAATGTATGTTTAAAGCTAGAAAATAAAAAGTGATTCTTTCTGCAAAATTCTCATTCAGCTCACTCAGCAGAATGCAATCGTTAAAGGTTCAGCATAGAACAAATAATAAGAGAGGAATGATCGACACTACTACACTCAGAATCATTCATGTTACGCTCAGATGTCTGTTTTGCTCAATTCTGCGTTCATCGAAGAAAATAGAAGCAAAGCGAATACGAACGAAATCAGTGCGGCTCGCACAAGCTGCTGTTCGTTTCTGATGTTGTATGCATGGAGTAGTAAATGCAAAATGAAACGATTTTTCCCATGCTTGATTGCCATTATAAATCATATCGTCAGACAACATCCTCAAGTGCATCATAAGAGTTGTTATTAGCATGAATATTCTCAAGTAAAACGAAGTTTTATTTGTGTTCTCCAAGGGATTCTCTAGGATATTATAAAACCACAACTTACATAAAACCAATATTACTCAATTAAAACCGCCATAAGTGCATGTTATATTTTCAATTCTTATCAAAATCAACTATAAAACCTGAATAAATCAAATCAGCTTTGGGAATGTTACTTGGGATGTCTTCGTTTTGAAGACGTTTGAAATAATGTCAAGATATTTTCTCCTGCAGATATTTTGAAGACATTTTTTTTAAATAGGGGAAATGGCTCTAATGTTGGCCTATGTATCTGAGATTAGGCCCATCGCTAAAAATCAGCTATTTATCAATTTTATCTAGATGAACGCGGCATTGGGACGGTACTAATGGATAATTTATCGCTATTGAAAATTAAGTCGATTGCTGAATTTATGTATGGGTCCGAATTAGTGGCATTTAGGCCAACATTACATCCATTTCCCCTATTTGATGATATGCTGATTCTGAATTTTTTTTCCGAAGACTCTTTGAATTTTAAGCGTGGTCCCCCGGTAATCTTCGAACACTTCATATATATTAACGGGGTTCATTTCTAATTTGCACTTTTAGTAATCCTATCAGTATCAGAAATGCATGTTTCTGGTAGCCTTATTTGCTGTTTTGTTTTGATTCTGCGTTCCGTTTCGCAATGTTCCTTTTCACTTTCCTCCATGCCCTGTGCTGAATGATGTTTGAACATATTTTGGTTGGCTCGGCGTCCAGATTAGCGCTCAAATAAAAAAGTGTGCAGATTAAAACCGGTCGGATTACCGGGGGTGCCCCTGTCTTTTTTACTAGTGAAGATTTTCGCTATTAAAATTAAGATTTTGGCATCACATTTTAATTTTCTTCTTCAGAATGATCATAATGAATAATGTAACACAAAGCCGTTTTATTGCAGCATGCAGCAGCATTAGCATGAGCATGAGCATGATTGACCGCCCACGGTTGCTACTCTGTTATTGTCAGACCAGCTGTAATTACACAGAGAACCAATAGACGATGCTTGGGACTAGCAATCATCCTCAATGTGTAAAAACTGGTGATCTCGAATTAGGCAATACCAGCGCCAGCCGCTCCTGAACACAGGTCAAAAAAGGAATGGGTAGGAATGTGTTGACGTGACACTCGCTTTGATGGGAGCGGAGAACACCTCTGCACTTCCACGAGGAATCACAGGGATGTTGGGAAGAGGGTTGGGTTTGCTGCAGGGTTCGTTTTGGTAAACGATAAGCTGGATTGATATTCTAACGATCGTATAACGCGAAGGAGCTTGGGATTGAACCCACGGTCTTCTGCTCAGTAAGCAAAAACGGTTGCTACTAGGCAAACGAGCTCCTTTTTAATCATCGAATCTTGATGTGGATGGGCTTGAGATTAGACTCAGGATGTTCTGCTCAGTTAGCCAAAGCGGTTGCTCTAAGGCCACCGAGCCCCTCATATCACATCATACCGTTACTCAAGTTGTTATAACTATTCAAACCCGGCACCGACGACAACGAAATGTTTAGCTAAATACACGATAAACAAGCGATCTTACCATACATTTATAATATGAAAGGACCTGGGACCGCGTTTTTCTTCTCAGTAAGCAAGCCACTGCAACCGACGATCTTTCAAATCCAAAAACAAAAGGCTACGAAAAAGTATTTAGGCCTTGATTAAATTCCACTACCACGCGACGTTCAATGTTTCGATTTGCTCTTTACGCATTGTTCAGACAATCATAACAATCTATGACCGACGTGACGATTGTTTAAAGTAATATGAGTAATATGAGTATTATTGTACAAATTACAGTACATTGTAAAAGTTACCTCATTATTCTGCAGCGTCATCGGTTATTATTTCTGGATCTTGAGTTGTTTTGGTGATACACTTACTTGCGGTATACTATTTTGGGCGCCCATATAGGCGTGTACTATGTAGGGTAGCTCATCTCTCGTCGTGATGGTGGTAAAAAGCAGGCAAATTAGAGACGAAACATTAGGGAGGAAATAAAGAGGTATTAGTATTAGTTATATCTAAACAAACAAAACAAAAGAAGAGTAGAACAATAAAAAGATAATAAAGATAAAATAGAAAACAAAGAAAAAGAAACGTAGGCAGATTATTGAAAAAGTATAAAAACAATAGAAAGAAGCATAGATCAATTACTAGGAAAACAGAACTACTTTATAACTAAAAGTGCAATAAATGAGCGTTAGTTTCGGGATCATTTTAGTGTTAGAGGTATGATCGTTTTGATCCGTAGTCAACCCTGCCAGCCTCTCCAACACTAGCTGCAGGCAGTGGTTGTTCAATCATGCGACACTGTAACTACTACTATGTTAGAGGTATGATTCGTCAAGTTTATACAACTCAATGTTCAATTGACGTAAACTATTTATCGTGCAATTACAAAAGCAAACCTAAAATTACAATTATATGGCAATATTGTATTTCTTATATAAATAATTTTGATGAAAACAAAAACAAATGCAAAATGAAACTTGACAAACCATCGTCAAACCCCCCATTCTAGGGCAGGGCAATAGGGAGGATTATTGTCACAAGAGACAAACACAGCAACAACGAGAGATAAAAAAGGGGGAGATACAGGATAAACAATTGAGCCATATGTGTTAACTCAAGGCAACGGAGGCTTAACAAAGTAATCAAACAAGTTGACATAAATCTAACCAGGGTCCAGGCCAAGGAAAAAGCAAGCAGCCACCCAGGATAGAAGTGTTTCACGTTAGCCCCATGCGTTACTTAAAGTTCACAAGATACCTGACTGATTAAGTGAGGGAAGGTACATTTTTGGATAGCAACTACCATCTGAACCAGACCACAATAAGAAACCACTAACCGTATTGTGCTTCCTCTAAGCGTAGAACCAATCCCTAAACCTAAACCTGTTCTAATCCACCTGAAATAACTAACGAATAGAGGACTTTGACAACCCAGCCATGCAATAGTCTCATTCCGTGCCCTATGGCAACTTGATGAGTCTATTGCGCTCATCTTCTGGCACCACCCAGGGGAGACTTGGTCCTGTACCCAATGCTTAACTTATCTCCATTCCACTCAGCTACTCGCAATTTCTTGTGATATAGTGGGCGGAATATTATTATATAAGACAATTCAATGCAGACGTCTTTCCAAATTTGGCAGATCGACAGGTAATCGGTGAGTTACCACGATGGTTGCTGATCAACAACTCGACAACATCTCATCGGCAACGCATGTCATGAGAATTTACCATTGCAAATAATAGCGAAATGACGTCATCAAGCTATCGATCAACTACCCTGGGTACCACCTGGTACCTTATAGCACGATGCTAGGAGGCGGACCGGAAGAATCGATGAGCAACCTCCCCCTGTAACACAAAGCCGTTTTATTGCAGAATAACACATGATCGACCTGAATATCCACAGAACTTTACTAAAATTATCGATTCTCTTGAATGCTTCCTGATCAACGTGTCATTTTTAAGAATATTTTAGAGACGACTCTTGAACTTCTGAACAGTTGAAGATATTCAGAAAAATACTTCATCAACCTGGAGATTTAAAAACAATATGAAAAGAAGTTTGCTGAAATCTGCCATCAGCTGAGGACGTTTTTAATACTGCCGTTTGGAGAGAATATCTGAGGAATTTATTTGAATTTTTGAACAGTTGAGATCTTCAGAATAAACTTTTTCAATCTGAAGACTTAAACAATATCCGGAGAACTTTATCGATATCAATATTGGACATTCACGAAGTTCTCTAAAAGTCTACAAAGGTTGAACATCTAAGAAGGTCCTTATAGGGTGAAATAGTGTAAAACATGCCAGTGGGGTATTATGACCTATTTTTCATGGACTTTTCAAACATAATTGAATGGTTTCAATTAACAAGTATCGTTTAACTATAACTAAAGTGCGTTTTTAATTTTTAATGAGAATTTTTTTAATACGATTGTCTTATGGCATATGGGAATCAAATTCTGGTGATTAATATTGATCAAAAATATACTAACTGATAACTTACACATGATTTGGCAAGGTTTTCATCCAAAATTTCTCATTTTTTTACAGTGCTCAACAGTGAAACGAAACCAGTGACGAACGAGTCACTAAAGAAGATCAGGACACGGTCATCGGACGTCGGTATACTGATTCCCTAGCAACGTTTTTCAGTGAAAACGATGAAAAAAGTGGTAGATATTAAAAACACTGAAGTGTTCTGGTCCCATCCGAGAGCGTCGTTGGACGGTCATACACATACAAAAGGTGAGACACGGTATTAGGATCGGTGAAAAATTGCACCATTAAACTTGTTTTAGTGGTCATATCTGAGGGTAGAGTGGTGGGAAACGAAAAGAAGAGATTTGGGTGGCACGTTCGCTCTGTATGCTCGACCCGGTGCAGTGCCGAGCCCTAGCTTGTGTGATCCCATCAGGGGAAAAGTTCCGAACCAAAGGCAGTACGGTAGAAGCTACTTGAGCAACAACCAGGATTAGCTACGTGTGTAGAGTCGCTTGATGCCGGAGGACTTTGTATGTGTGCCCTCGGTAAGTGAATCTGGGCCGACTCCTGTCTCAGTCCCTGTGTCGAGCCAACTGCACAGCACTACAAATACCAACAAAACGAAAAACCAAGGTGATAAATCTTTGAGATTTCCATCATAAATAACACCTCCTTTTTGCTGGCTGTGGAGACCTCCTTCAAACGGCTCTTGTGCTCGAGTGACATGAGCATGAAACTGTATGTGGATGCTGATTTCGAAGAATGAGAAAAGGGTATCTGAAAAGATCGTTGAAGAACAAAAAAACCAGTTTGATTTGAGCAAAACACATTACGAAGGACGTTATGTACAACTCGGTTGGACGGTTGGTTTTCCACAGCTTTTAGTATTGGGACTATCCCTTGTGTTAAATAGAAACAAAGGTGGTTAACAGCTGATAGACGACAAGACTATCCTGATCCTGGAGAGTTGAAGAACATAAGTTAATGACACTAAAGGCACAGTTGTGACTGGTTTTTCTTTCGACATTTGCTGGCTACTTATTCATAAATAACGCGGTGTGAAAGGAAAACTGAAGGGATCCACATGGTGAAATTTTCTGGAAAAAGATGAAAAACTGAAAGAAAATAGTTTTGTGAAGACTGTAATACCAGAAAGAAAAGAAGAGAAAAAGTACATCGAGCGAGCAAACAAGGCAAGTGCAAAAAGTGAATTCACCGTATGAAAAGATTTGACGTGTTGGGGAGAGAAAAGTTTTTCTATGATTTAAAACAGGCAAAAGAACAACACGAGATACCGCTACAACGTGGTTTTCAAATTTATATAAAAACATTCGCGTCCCAAGATCATCATCATCATCATCAGCGACAGCATCTGTGTTGTGTGTATCTGTCTACTTGACAAGATGTGGAAATGAAGATAAAGGATACATCACAGCAGCAACAGCAGCAGCATCGTCACCGTTGTTGTCGTAATGAGTGAAGTTACGTTGGAGCAGCGCATCCATCATACATAGGATTTTTATAGCAGGTTTTTATAACTTTATTCAACTTCTTCCCTCTATCTATCTCGCTCTAACGCACTCGTGTGTACACACATTGTCTGCCTAGAGCTTATATTGTAACAGAAATGTGACCAAGAATGTGAATAATACATATATGCTTTCGGAGTCAGACCGCAGCAGTGCCGAGGCGACTGTCATTTGTCAAGGACGGTCGTTAACAAAATTTATGCTAGATGGTTTCAATTCACTTCAACTGGAATAATGCGCGTAACGAATTGCCATTTCGGAAATTACACGCCATTAAATTTTAAATGAGTTTGGGAGTGTCGCGATGGTTTTGTTTGCGGTTATCTAATGCTGGTTGAGAGGTTTGAATCTGATGTTTTGTAAAGTTGGCTAAGAGGAGCTGAAACATTTTCAGGAATTCATTCAGGAAATTTGCGAAGCTAAGCATTGCCGCTACCTCGTGGCAGTTGATTGTGTTGGCTAAAATTGCTTTAAAGTCATTTCGTTAAAGCAAACTGGTGATTTCAGTCGATATAGTACTACTTGAACAGAATATCCAGTAGAAGCACTGGATGTCACACGTTATGCTGCCCCTTTCGTCACAGTTAATTCGTAGGCTTGCTGATAGCAAGGGAAAAAGATGGCTACCTTAATAAAAAAAAGTTTAACGATGTGTTTGAGATGGGGATCTTTTGATGTAGGATTACGTTATTTGGCAACATATTGGAGGTGTTATTTCAAAAAACCAAAATCGACCGAATTACGATAAATGGTCAGGTTTTAACCACTTACAACTTGGATAATAGCGGATGGATTTGGATTCTAAACAAGCCAATCGATTGGAAATTTTTCTACGAATCTGCTAAATGAACACTTAATCAATTATCAATAGGTCACTATTTAAAATTACACAAATGTCCAACTGTTGCAATGGTGATCAAAATTATAACCGATGGCCTGCAAAAAGTGCTTTCCCTAACACAGATTTCAAAATCGATTTCCCTCTGGTTTCGCCGAACGGTGCTTATTCAATCACCGTGTGAGGTGGTGCCTGGTTGGTCGTCATCATCATCAGCAGCAGCAGTGCATTCGGCACGTGGCGTTGAACAATCAGTACACAAAGAAAGGCTGTGAGCTGCAGCCCATATGAGCGTCCATTCACCGAAGAAGGAGGAATAAGTCGCACCGCTACTGATCGGATTCAGTAGCTCTTCGTGAGTCGCTGTGGGTCATCTATGCCAAGCGCGTCACCCTCGTTCCAAACAACATACAGCTCGCCAGCCTCATCTGAGTTGAACACCCTAATAGCTCAGCATTACTCAACCGTCACGTCAAAACGGTTTTTTTTTCAGGATCTCCATACATTATTGTTCTTTAAGAGTTAATTTTCATTGAACATTCGCTCGCCTTGCTGCCAGCCACATCACCCCCAAAGCTCTTTGATAATGTACCCAGCAACCAAATGATGCTTCCTAGAAAAAACAACCAACTCAGTTTTCTCCGGAAATAATTCGATACCTAGCTTCATAGCCCAATTAGACAAATTGTCTAAGGTATCTTGCAATGGTCCTTGCAGGTCCGGTGCACTTGGTCCGGTAACGGAAACAACGCCATCATCTGCAAGCTGCCGTAGCGAGCAATTTTCATTAAGACAACCGTCAATGACAACCATAATTGTTCATAATTGGTGAAAGTCCACTATCGTGGAGTTTACCGAAAGGACATCGATACAAACAGAACCAAAAGCCCCCTGAATATCCAAGAAAACTTAACCCATTTGCTGTTTTTGCTCAAGGCCAGTTGAATTTAAGTTGAAAGCAACGCAAAACAGTCGCTCGTTCCTTTGCCTCTCCGAAATCCAAATTGCGTATATGAAAGGAAACCATTCGACTCGAATACAGAGGGATTTTCAAACATCTTAATTTATTTTCGAAGTGTCAAATTTAAGTGAAAATTTTCCAAATGGAACACAGCCTAAGAGTTTTAAAACCTAGAAATAGTCAAACATATACTGTAACGATGCGTTCAAAAAACACGAAAATGCACTGTCCTAAACCTTATAAGACGAATAAAATCTAACATGAGACCAGTCCCTTAAAGAACAAAGTTTGTTTTTTTTTTCTTCGTTAAGTTTCGAAGAAGGCCATCACACACATAATCGAAGATTAAAAAAAAATGTGTGAGATTAGAAGGAAAATTTTGTTTACAACGTATTTTTGATACAGTCCTTATAATTTTAAAATTGATATGGCACTTATTAAATTGAGCTCGGTTGTGGTAACACGTCTTCAGTGCTCGGACTTTTTTCTTCTCGAAGTACATTGATAGTTATTATCAAAACAAACAAAAGTGATTGATATTCAACGAAATACTGTATTTGACATCCGTTGCACAGGCAAACCTCTAAGACAATAGAGGTTAGAAGATTAAACATATTTACCCTCTATTCATGGCCCACGTGCGGACAAACCAAATCAAAACTCTTCCTATGCTCAGTGCGCTACTGTTCTAAGGGGCTGTACATAAGCTGCGTACACACTTTGGGGGTTGAAGATTTGTACGGTCGATACAAATTTATAAAAAAAATATGTATTGATCATTGTCGACGTGGGAGAGGGAGAGTTAGAAAACCTTTCAAAATCTGTCTACGTAGTTCATGAACGGCCCCCAAATGAAACTGTTCCAGGACATAAAATAGCCGAAGGGCTTTGATGCGACACTGGGCAAACACAGACATCAACTACCTATATAGAGATAACAATGCCACCGTGTTTCACCATCATCGTCCTCGACCAGTAGTCAGAGCTTTGATTCCATGTCGTCATGTCGGGTCGTGGATTCCTGGGAAAAAGTATATTTCCAAGCATTTGCACGTAAACAAAGGCGATGATTACATACTCATGGCGGTAAAACCCGGAGTCGGTTTTCTATATTATACGATGGATACACAACGTCAACGCCCAACGGGCAATGGGTATGTGTACATGTCCTGACTCTTGTATGATGGCCTAGATTTAAACGTAGCCCGCACATTAAATGGTATGACTGTTGCTCAATCGTGCGATGTATATGCGCCATGTCAGACAAGATCGTAACCGGGTGTTTATAGTCAGTGAGTTTGTTTCAATTGTAGTAGTGTGATGAAAGATAAATATGTCATCAGATATGGATAGTGATGGGAGTCAATGATTTCCACTGATTTGGATTCTTCATATAGGGAGTTTGAAATGGGTAGTATTTAGGTAAATTTAAAAAAAATATGTTACAAGAAAATGGAGGTAGATTCATCCATGATGTTGATGTATTTAACTTGAACCAATGGTTATCAATGCACCAGCGGTTGAATCATATTAAAACACATATTCAACTAATGTAATCATCTCCAGTTCAAACGTCATGCCATGGTGATTTAAGGGACTTTCAGTGTCATCATAAATCCGTTTGTGTATCGCATAGGCATCACTGTTGATTTTCATTACGGCTGCCATAATCCTCATTGTTGAAAGCTCTGAGCGTTTATCCGAAATGTCCTTCTCAAGAAGAGAGAAAAAAATGGGGTATGGTGGTCCAAAACGCACCCTAGGGGTAAAATTCAGTGCAGTACTTAAACTAGCATTTCAGCACATAAAATCACATAATTAGTAATTGGAAAGCAACGAAAAACTGTGCGATGTCAATTTACCCTGTACGTTCCTACCAAACGTAGTGCCCGTACAGTAAACAGCCCGTACAAGAAAATCCTTCTTACGGCTCATTCACGCAAACACACCTTCAGAGACCATACCGGAGCAGAGTACCGACCCACACAATATCCAGCACACTCCGCTGCAGCACACGAAAGCAGCCGGCCATGTGTGCGCCGAAAAACACCGAAATGCTTCCTACTTTGCAACATCATCGCCATCATTATTACCGTCGAGCTCTCGTTCCGGGGAACAAGCACCTCTCCACTCGATGAGATTTTGATGTAATGCTAATTAAAATTTAATCAAAATCCTCGCTGGAATAAATTTCCTTTTGTCTGCTGCTGGTGCTCCCCAACCAATTGCCAGGCATCAACCGTTGTCGCCGTCGTCATTGCTGGTATGGTGCTGTGCAGGTAAAGTCTCGTCCCAGACCCAGGAGAACCAGGAATTATCGATTTACTTGCTGTGGGAGTGTATGTTTAGAGCTGGAATGTGCTTTTTGTGGAAAAATATTATTCGCTTTTCACGCTGGATGGCACATATATTAGAATTGAAAGCATGGCGTTGCAACTAAAGGGTGTATTCCACAACAAATTGCTCCCGGACGAAGCTAGAACAGCACTACCGTTCATACTGGCGACAACGCTCTGATGAGACAACGAAACCCTACCCCAAGCTCCTCCCCTGATCCTATCCTTCAAAAATGTACCCTTCTAACCTCGAGTAAGCCGCGAGTAATCGGCCCAACTCCTACTAGACATAGAATTAAGTGAATCTTGTTACACACAGTGAACAATGAATTATCGGCTCCGTAAAGCTAACGCGATTGAGCCTTCCAAATAAACGAACTAGATAAAAAAAAAAACAAATTGCACCCACATAAACAGCTACTTTTTAATTATAATACCAATAAAAATTAAATTTTCAAAGAAGATTCTTTAGAGAGTACTGACAAACAAAAAATATGTCATTATACAAATATCAGCTTTGACTTGGGTTTTAATCAAGAAAACAAAACTTTTTTTATAATAAATTTTGTACAGTGGCCAAAATCTAAATTTAAATAATTCTGTACAAAAAACCTATGTCCCGGAGGTCAAACTAGCTTTCCGGGAATCGGTAAATGTGAGTTTTGGTAAATTTCCCGTGACGTCTCGGGTAGGAACCACTAATATCGACTGATAGCGATTGGCTCAGAACCGAGCCCAAAGGGAACCACCCTAATAAACGGGTAACATACACGAACAATGTCTTAGAGGGTGTGACCATACCGCATAGGTTGATATGATATCCTGAATAGGTGGTTAGGTACTTCTTATGTTTTTTAAAGTGAT